TATTCTGCCTAATCTCGAAGAAGTAGAGACGAGATGGAAACTTTGACACTTACTAAAGGTCCAGTAATAATATTATTAATGCGATGACTCACGGATTTATTAAGAACAACAGTAAAAATTTAGACGAGTCACTAAACAGGTGAAAGTTCCTTTTTATTTAGAATATCCAGATTCATAATCCATTAATCGAAAATTTTTCTCAAGTCGGGGAAAGCAGATATTAGTATCAACAACTATCACAACAAACAATACAAGCATGCGCAACTCATGCCGAGGACGTACGGCCCGATCCAACAATATTTAAACTGTGCACTTCCAGAGGGTCGAATGGCACGAACCATAGATGCATCTATTTAATCTACCGAGGCGTTCGGCCCGTTCCACAATATATAAACACATTCAAAATGTCAATTAAGAACTCATCAGGGAGCAATTTATCCAAGGAAAAACCAATTTCTTTTAACAATTCGAGAAGATGAAGGTAAATCTTTTTAGAAATTCATTTACTAACTCAACGTGATTTAAACAATTCAAACTGTCAATAAGATTACAAATATTCCAAGAATAACATGCTTTTGGGTCCTAGACTACGCGGACTTAAACATAATAGTAGCTACGCACGGACTCTCGTCACCTCGTACGTACGTAGCCCCCACAAATAGGAGCACATAACCAATTAACTCACATATGGGGACAATTCCCTCTTACAAGGTTAGAAAGGAGACTTACCTCGCTCCGAAGATCCATAACCGGCATTCCACGCCCTTCCGAAGACTTGAATCGATGCTAAATACTTCCAAAACTAACCAATGATTATGCAAAGTCGTTAATATATGATAAACTACTCATATTAATCCAATTTGTAACAATTCCTAACCTCGATTGAAAGGTTGACAAAAACGCCCTCGGGCCCATGTGCCCGGATTCCGAATTTTTTTGAAGATTAAGCTTACCCATCACTCCATGAACTCAAATATATGATTTTCTCTTAATTCCATACCCAAAATCGTGGTCAAATTCCAAGAATATCAATTTTCTAGGTTTTCCCTCAAACCCCAAGTTTTCTACAAATTTCCATTTCCAAATCCGTATATAATCATGTATTTAACTCAAAACTAACATAAATTACTTACCTCATGCTTGGTGGTGAAAATGGCACCTCAAAGTTGCTCCAAATCGGCTCCAATGGAAGAAAATGGGGTTGAAATGAACCCAACCCCTGATTTTAAAAGAACCTCACTGCCTCCAGCATTTCCGCATCTGCGGTCAGGGGACCGCATCTGCAAAAATGGGCCGCATCTGCGAAAATGAGCCAAAGAGCTGGGACCGCATCTGCGGTCTCCAGGCCGCATCTGCGGAGCCGCTTCTGCAGCTTGGGAGCCGCATCTGCGGTTCCTGGCCTGGCCTGCCCTGGGCCGCTTCTGCGAAGTGAGGACCGCACCTGCGGTCTCGTACCTGCGTTCCACCAACCGCAGGTGCGGTTATGACAAAAGCAGCAGCTTCAGCACTTCTTAAAATTCCATTTTCGATCCGTTAACCACCCGGAATGCACCCGAGGCTCCCGGGACCCCAACCAATCATACCAACCAGTCCCAAAAGACGTTACGGACTTGTTCGAGGCCTCAAATCATATCAAACAATGCCAAAACCAAGAATCGACCTCCAATCCAAGCTTTATGAACTTTAGAATTTCAAACTTTTACTTTCGACGATTAAACCTATCAAATCACGTCCAATTGACTTCATATTTTGCGCACAAGTCATATTCGACATTACGGACCTACTCCAACTTCCGGAATCGAATTTCGACCCTGATATCAAAAAGTCCACCTCCGGTCAAACTTCTCAAAAACCTTCAAATTTCTATCTTTAGCCAAATGACTCTAAAATGCTCCACGGACATCCGAATTCACTTTCGATCGTGCTCTTAACTCCACAATCACCATATGGAGCTACTCCCAGATTCGGATTCCCAAACGGACATCGATAACACTGAAATGCACTTCAACCCAAACTTATAAAATTTCTTCCAAAATGCTAACTTCCACAACAGGCGCCAAAACACTCCCGGGTCATCCAAAACCCGATCCAGGCATATGCCCAAGTCCGAAATCATCATACGAACCTGCTGGAACCCTCAGATCCCGATTCCGAGGTCATTTTCTCTGAAATCCAATCCTAGTCAATTCTTTTAACTTAAAGCTTCCGAAATGAGAATTTCCCCTCCAAGTCAACTCCGAACTTCCCGAAATTTAATTCCGACCACGCGTACAAGTCATGATGCCTGAATTGAAGCTGTTCATGGCCTCGAACTACTGAATGGCGCGCTAGGGCTCAAAACGACCGGTCGGGTCATTATAGAAACAGAGCAGAAAGAAGATGAACAAAGCGAGGCAGCAAATTATTTGCTGTGAGATACAAAGAAAACTGAACATGAAACAGACAAAGAAAGAGGATAAACAGAGAGAGGGATTATATCTCACCACCTGTCAGAGTTACTTTATACGTGTTAGCTATTAGTAAAACTTACGAAAAGACTAAAGTAGCCCTTGGGAAGCAGGCATGATGACCCTGACCTGCTTCCAAGCGGCTTCTATATATGTAGAATATTCGTCAGCTAACATTTGCAACTTAAATCACAACCGTTAAACACTCATTGGCAGCGATCTGTAAACTCTGATCATTTCTCAGTGATCTAGCTATCCGACCCGTATAAGCCTCTAGATAACTCCAATTCAATTCTCTACAAGATCCAGATGATGATAACCCGACCCGGACCCGGTAGGGACCGGAGGTATGCACGAGTCCAGAACCAAAATGTGGTTCTTTTGGACTCAAAGGACCGAAATATGTAGAAAAAAAACATGGTGACCAAAGACGCTATATGTATAATGCGGGCCCACAAATAATTTTTCTAGGCTTAACTGACATAAAAATAATTCAACTGGGTATAGCGCCTTAAGCTAAGACGTTATACCTCAAATAATTGAACCCCTGGACTCGTTTTTGCCTTATTTAAAGATGTTAAGTATTTTGTAAATATCCATTCAGAAATATTCTCAAGTCTTGTAAAATTTTTCTTCGTTAAGTTGTTTTGCATTTTGTCATAATGTCTGAAGAACGAAGAATTAGGATTTCGTTATAGTGGGGGGGGTGAGGTTGTGGTGGCGAATAACTCAGCAAGCTATAGTTTATCTCCACAGTCTCATGTTAAGTTGCCACTTTCAATGGAGTACGATACATTGGTATCCTTGTTATGTAAAAAAAATAAGTGTGAGCAAACGTTCGGTGAATCATAAAGCAACCGGAAGATATCCGTATTCTGTAACTCCGCAACGGGTTGCTTGTTATGCCGAGTTTAACATCGAAGACGATGAAACTCTGAGAGATTTTTTGAGGACTCCGGATGAATATCGGGAATTTATTGTGATAAAACTGTTGGAAATGTACGTTAGGGCTGAAGACGTCGCAATAATGAGGTTGCGCAAAGTACGGATATCCCTCAATCATCGAGTGGTTATTTCGGAGCAGTTTTAGCTGAACAGGTTCCGGGTGAAAGAGTTTGACCGGATCTAAACTTATCTCCACGGGCGAATGAGGAGCGAGGAAATAATTTCTCCCCTAGTTTACATAATCCACAAGCCGAGTCGTAAACTTCAATTTTTCTTTGTATTACGATGTATATTTTTATGTATTGTATTTGTATTAACACTTATATATTCCACAGGGGGTACCGACCATATATGAATTTTACAAGTTATGAACCAACGACTAGTTAGAATATGCCTAGTTTTGGTGTGTTGGATCATGGTGGTCCATCCGGGAGTCATCATCAACAGGATAATGTGCATCATGGGATATAAACACATTATGATTTGTAAGTGAATATATAAAGTTATATGTAAAGTTTGGACCAATTTGAGTAACTCATTATTTTGTTGGTTGTGCAGTGAAAGCGAGTAACTTGATGGTCCTGTCATTACTCAATTGCCCGAAAACGACATATTTAATCAAGGTCTAGCAGATGCGCAGAGTCAGGAAGAGAATAGTGATTATGACAACAATGCCAATGGTCTGGAGATGACACATGTTGATACCCAATTTTTTCCTATGTATTTTATACGCAAAATGCTTTCAAAATAACATGTACATGCTATATAAGCATGCCCAAGCGTTTTGGTATTTTTTCGTAATTATTAAAAGATTTTAAAATCAATTTATTATCCATTTTAGCAGTACAAAAGCCAGTAATTATTCCCAAAACTATCAATTTTTCTGAATAATGTATTTTATTCTCATATTTATACTAAAATATAGTTAAGGTGATTTTTGTAAATTTTTACAAATTTATCTGGTATTTTTAAAAGCTAAATTGCATACAATTGCAATTTTAGCCTATTTTAAGATTAATAACATTTCTATAATTGTAAAATTGGTTTCAATAGTTTTTAATTAATATTTATATATTATTAATTGGTTCGGTACTTTTAATTTGCTTTTAAAATCATTTTTACTATTTCTATAAAATAAAAGGGGTAAAACTGGCTATTTAAAATTTTGCCTCATTTCGTTTCAATTGCAGCCCATTTGCATTTCGATTATAGCCACATTACCCCCCCCCCCTAATTGACCCAATTTGAATCCCAACCGGGCTAGCCCAATTTCGTACCCTTAACCCATTTAACTACCCGACCCAAGCCTCTTTTAATCCAGACCGTTAATCAATCTGATTAGCGGTCACGATCACCCCTTTCCATTTTTAATTCCCCAAACCATACCCTATCCCCCATTTTGTTTAGTCTGCCGCCCTTGAATACTCTCCACTCTCAAAACTCTCTCGAAGGTTCTTCGGAACCCTAGTCTGTCTCTGACCCTTTCCACTGTACTTTCACCGGAATCCATGGCTTCTCAGGCCACGGATGGTCTATACTCACCCCTCTCCACCATTAGACCTTGGGAGTTCGAGGTTTTGAAGTTTGACTTTGATGGTTCTCTCTCAGATCTTCTCACATCTTTGGTTCCATGGCTCCTCCGGCCATGCTCCGGCATATTCAAGCACGGGAAGCCTGATTCCTGTCCTCTTCGACCCAGGATCGGACTTTTCCAAGCCTTTCTCATTTCTAGGGTTTCTCCGAAACCCTAAGTTGTTCGAGGTTTTTCTCTGTTTATTTTCTTAGATCAATGTTATGTTTGTGTTCTACTGGACCTCTAAATTGTTTTCCCCAAATTTTCTTTTCAAAATTATTATTTTTCGATTTAGGGTTTCTGAAAGGTTTTCAAAAAAAATATCTTTCTGATTGTTATTGTTCTTTCTTTTATGTGTGTTTGTCTATACTATGCTCGTATATTTTCTGTTACTACGCGTGTGTTGTTCTTCTGCTTCTTCTTTTCCTACTATACATGTTACTCCTGTGCTCACATGCTAATCCTTGTTATGTTACTCTTCTACTATATGTGTTTACTGTTGAGTTCTTTTATTTTGTTTGCTTTACTAGACTCTGTTTGTGTTCTTGCTAAGCATGTTTCATCTACTGTGGCTTAAGTTTACACCACCTCTCTTTTCCTCTGAACTTGCTTAAGTTGCGACTTTTCTAAAACATGCTCTTTTATGCTCTTAAATCAGCTTTCTTTCTTTGTTGTTTCAAACCTGCTATCCTATTTGTTTTGTTTCTCAAGAGGCTCTAAAACAGACCTTTGAGTCTGTTTCAATGGCTTGCCTTCTCATCTCTATGTCTGGTTCGATTTGAAACCCTAGGATTTGGGGTTTTCTTTGGCAAGTTTGATTTGGTGTTTGGACTAGGATTCTGCATTGGAACCCTAGACTCTCAGACTCACTATGAGTCTAAAAACTGAACTTGTTTTCCCTTTGCTTATGATTCTGAACCTTTCAATATTAGAGTCTTTTCTCAGTAACATGACGACCCCTTTGTTTGATTTGTCTGCTTTATATATGAGAAGTTCTTCTTTCAAAAAAAGATTTTCCTAACTACTAATTGATTCTCAATTCCTTTAATGGGGTTTGACTGATTGTAACTGATTTTCTCTAATTGAACCATCTTTACCTTTTCTCGACTTGGTTTATTCGAACAAAGCCTGCCACTTTGATTTTACTGGCTGTTTGATTGATTCCCTTTCCTTATTTCACACAAACCGTTTACCATTGGACTTTTGCCTTAAATAACTTCTATGTATTTACCCTTTATTGTACTGCCTGGACAATATTTTTTCAAATCCATTTCCGTAATTGTTTTTAACCGTTTGAAATCAGAATCCCTTAATTAAAGGGAGATTTATTTCTTACCTTGTTCTTACTTGTTTGCTGCACTATAAAAGGGGCTCGACCCTTCAGCACTAAAAAAACAACAACTTTTGAACTTTTGAACTTTTGAATCCTAAGTTCAATACTCATACTTTCACACGCATACTCCCAATCACAATACTCTTTCAATTCTCTACTCTCTTCTGAGACTTTTGTACTGCTTTGCTTGCAACTTGTCTTTTCAAGACTGCTGTTTTACTTATTTGTTTTCCCTAAAACTGGTATGTCCCAATTTAATTTCAGCTCCTTCCCTATGTGTGTTGAGTTAAAGTTCATGGCCTGGCCGCATCTAAATTGCTGCCCAGGTCTGAACCTGACCTTCAATAGGTCCTAACTCCTAAACTCAAGCTGACAGGCTGGTCAGGGGTGTGCCAGCATCCTAATTGCTGGGCATGACCACTAGTTTTGTCATGGCTTTCCCTAATTCCCCCTCTATTGCACTTACACTTATTCTTAGACTCTAAATTCTGCCCCCCTCCTATGAGCCTTGCCTCAGGGACCTTGAGTTCCCTCTGAATTGGGACATTTGAGGGCTGGCCCTTCCACACTGCACTACAATCTGATCCTGCAAATGTAATTGGGTGTGAGCACTGCCTGGAGTTCATGAAGCTCCTTGGAACTTTGACACACCCAAAGGATGAGAAAGGCTTTGGAAATCTGATCTTTGGAATTTAGTTTATCTCATCCTTCAGACTAGGAGTCTGAATTAGTCTCTCCTTGGTTGGAACTTTAATTTGTGATGTAATTTTTTCTTTTATTTTTATTTTTCTTGATTCATTCGGGTTGTAATAATTTGTAATAACTATTGGGGGTGTATAGTGAAAAGGGGAGGGTCACTCATGTTACGCATGTGGGTAGACATCATGCATTAGATATTTATTTCTGTAATCACAGCCTGTTTTTTCGCTTATGCATCCACATATAGAAATCCTGCCTATAAGTTTATGTATCTACATATAGAAATCTTGCCTATAAGTTGTTTCATTACTGCATTAGAAATCCTACCTATAAGTTGTTTCATTACTGCGTTAGAAATCCTGTCTATAAGTTATGCATTTAATTAGAAATCATGTCTATAAGTCCCTGCACTTCTGCATATAGAAATCATGATTATAAGTTTCCTGCACTTCTGCACATACACATGTCATTAGGCAAACAATCCATAGGTTTCAAAATTATCAACTGCATCTTAGATACCATGCTCTTAGGATTCCTGCACTTACATAACCGTTTTAGAATCAATAACGCTTAGAATTCATGCCTATAGGAGCAATCGTTTAAATCTGATTCACCCGACAAGTCTAAAATCAGTAATAATGTTGTTAACATCCACAGAATTGGTTTATTTCTAAAGTCAGTAATCTTCTTTAAACTCAGTATGTTTGACCTTGTTAGATATCATGCCTATAGGTTTCACCTAGGCAAACCATTAGGTAATCAATTAATTATACCAGTCTTTAATAATTACAACCAGCAGGCAGGCCTAATTCAGACTTCTTATCTGAAAATATGTGATAAATCAGCCACCCCCTTTACGTAAGTTTAATTAAAGACCTAACCAGTACTTGTAAGTCATGCTAAACAATTTCTGCTTTGAATGAGGAGGCCTATTTGAGCCTTAACTGCTATGTGTTTTCCCTCTTAACTGGTCTTATGTGTTTTGTTTATCGCACTAGATTTTGTCCTTTTTAAACTTCAAAAGCCAATATCCCTTCCCTCTAGGATTAGTAGTCCCAACTGCCTCGGGGACTGATAGGATTGGGGTGGGTAGTAGCATGCAATAAGTAACGAGACCATTCCGCACTTTAGTACCTTAACGGGGTGGGAAAGGGTGACATGGATATGATGATCACGCGATAACACCACGTGTATAATTGGTTACCGGGTGTTGCGTGGGTGATCCATGTTATTTATAAGCCTAGGACCCCCTCCCTCTTTATGTGTTTACTTCTCTCTTTCAGAACTTTTTTAAATTGCAGTTTTCGGTTCTTTTAAACCTTGCCCTTTGCTTTAATCATTTTTTATAAAAAAAATCTCTTTAAATGTCCAAGTACTTTTTTTCTCTCCCAAATTTTCGCCCCATTTCATCCCTTTGCCTTATTATTTGTATCGATTATTTGACTCCCATTCTTCTGCACTCGTATATTCTTTAAATAAATTATGAAATTGCCTAGTCCTAAATTTCAGCTCGTTTATTTAACTTTTATACTTCCCCTACTTGCAATCGTTATATGAGAAGTGTCTTGTATGTTTATTTGTTGTTTATATTTAAAGTCACAATTGTAGCATGGCCGGGAACCACACTAGTGGATCTTGGTGGGGTGCCTAACACCTTTCCCCCGAGATAATTTCAAGCCCTTACCCATTCTCTGGTTCTTCTTCTTCTCTTCATTTCTTTCTTAGTGTCCTAATGCACTTAATCATTAGGTGGCGACTCTTCTAAATCTCAAAACCCAAATTCCCAAAAGGGATAGAGTTGTCCGCCCAAATGTCGTAAACCCGATTTCGCCTTTAGAAAAAGGAGGCAGCGACTCTGCTGGGGACTTCTTTAAGGCTTTTACCATTTCATGCTATTTGTGCATGCTTCTTTACATGTCTTTACTTGTTTTTAAGTATTTATTCATTCTTCTATTGCGAAACTAACTTGGTTCTTTATTTCTTTTCTTTAATGCTTTCTTTTATCGCTTTCCTTCAATACTGTTGTAAAACTGCAATTATTGTAACCATTATTTTATGAACGTGAAAGTACATGACAATTTGTTAATTATTGTATTGCATTTTTTCGACATCATATTCCACTCGTGCCAAACAAAAGACCTTAGCATCGCTTATAATGAGTGGTTGCGCTCTTCCGATATTATCACCACCTCAATCCGGCATAGGCATATTTGCGGTGAAACCAGTCGATCAACGGTGTAGTCGACGATTCCGCGCCTTTCCCTCTTGAGTTGTCCGCTCAAGAGTACCAGTCTAAAACCCCATAGAAACCCTACTCTATTTAATTGTGCATGCATCATGGTCAAACCTAGCCGAGTCAGTTATGTTGTCCACATAATGACTCTTTAAGATAGCCTTGTCCAAAGTCCACTAGGTTTCCTTGAGACCCAAACGGACCTTACCACGTTCTGTGCATTCATTTGGAGAACTAAATGCTTCTTATGCTAATTATTGATGTTAAATAGTCGAGTCCGGTGGGGGAAAGGGCCTAACCTTTTGTTTTGCAAAAAATGAGGCATGAGTTCCCTGACTTCGGTATGGTTAGAACGCCCTCACTCTTGTTGACCTGGTGGAGGAATCTCCCATCAGGTGACCAAATCAATGAATGGAAAGAGAGGGTCACCAAGGCTAGCGAAAAGCTGGAATATCTAGAATACAGTCTGCTGGAATTGGAAGGAAAAGTGAGAAAAAGAGTCACCGACTGCTAGAACGCTGAGGGAAACAAAGGAGAACTCCTGGCAAAGGCATTTTTACTGGAGAATCTGCGTGAACTGGAGGATTTGATCAATAAGAGCATTCAACTTGGGGAAGGTCCTTCTGGGACCAAGTAGATTGGAGTTTATTTTTGCTTTACAAATGTAATAAGGCCAATGGCCATTAGTGATTTTTATTTCTTGCTTATTTAGTGTCAATTTGGGATTCGTCTATTTTTTATCAATAAAATGAGGTATTTAGCGTTCTAAGTTCTCCAAATTTACTTGCCGCTAGGCCTACCTCAGGCACAACGAGACTCCCAATTTAGGACACAATTTAT